TCTCCTTCGCTCACCACCCTCTCTCTGCCTCCTCAGGTATGCTGGTAAGGCTTTACTGGAGGAGAGGGTGAATCCCAATCTGGAATTCTCTATGTCACTAGCTGGGGTTTGCATCTCGCTTGGTTTCGTCTACCGGAGCAAGAAAGTAGTATGGATTTGTCCCGACTTTCTTCTACCAGACTTCCCACATTAATATCTCTTTCTGCCACCCATTAACAGATCACTCCAGATGTTTTCTGGAAACCTATAAGCAGGGTTGGAAACCAATGGTTTCAAAGTTGGACGGTCCATTTAGTTGGGCATACATTCCATGGACTTACAGAAGTCCGTTGCGAAGCCAGTGGCTAGCCACGGGTTCATTGAAAAGCCAGAGAGAAGCCATCAGTTTTCCACCAAGGGAAGGAGGCAGGAGACAGCACTCAGGAATATTGAGGGAGCTTAAATCTTCTATTTATTTTTTTTTAAAAAAATTGAATCACTCATTAGAAATTAAGCCTGGCCAAGATGAAGGTGATGAAGCAGTAGAGTCTCTCCAACAGCTTTTGGAATCCAGTTGCATTTTAAAGGCTATTTTTTTTCGTTCTTTGGGAGATTTGCTGCAGAAATATTAATAAACAGATTATTCTCTTTCCCTCCCCCAGAAGGGGGTACTTCGGTCTCAGAAAGTAACATCTGGGGCAGTTTTTTTTGAGACAGTTTCTGTCAGTAGCTATCATTGCATCAGTCTAATCAAAAGCTAGCCACTGGAATATGTACCTTAACTAAATGGACCGTCCAACTTTGGGCTTTATTGGTTACTTGAAACAGTGGGAGAGGACAATTGGTTCCCAACCCTGCTGATAGTTTTCCAGAAAACATCTGGGGTGGTCTGTTAAAGACTGGCAGAAAAAGATGCTAGATGTAGGAAGTCTGGTAAAGAATCAGAACAAATCCATACTACTTGCTTGCTTTGGGGGGGGGGGGAGCGCATTGGGATTCAGAATAGTCAGGTTCAAGTTCCTACTTGACCATGGAGCTCACTGGGGAATCACTCTCATTCACCAAGCATAAAACGAGAGGTAACGTTCTTGTAAGCCGACTTGAGCTCCTTTGAAGAAAGGCAGGTTTTGAACGGGAAGAAAATAAATCTACAGATACACAGAGCTAGCTCCAAGTCTTTCAAAAATGCGCTATCCACTTTGCGCTATCCACATGGGAGATAGGGAGATGCTGGGATGAGGGAGTTATTTTAGAAGGTAAGGTGCTATGGGTGTTGTTTGGCTGGATGAAACAGAACCTCCGAAGTAAATTAACTCGAAGTTGGACCCAATGAGCTTTGATTCTATCTCAAAGAGCTCAGTTGCCGCAGAAGTTTTTCTCTTTCCTCCGCTCTCTGTAGGAACAGGGCGAATTTAAAACTTTTTAGAAGGAAAGAATGAAAACGGTGGGTCGAAGGGGTTTGGAACCAAATCCACACCAAAGCGCCTCGTAGACCACGACCCTACAGTGGAATTCACGACCATTTGAATTCCTTACCGACGAATGAAGGAACCGGCCCCCAATCCACCAGCGAGCTGGCCTGGGATTCGGGAGGTTGAAATTCAGCACCTGCTGGTGCTGGTGGGGAAGGCGGGCCGAAACCAAGAATCTGGGAACTGAAAAGGCTTTGGAATACCCCCATCCCGCAGACCGCCCGAAACCAGCACCGTTAGAGATGACTTTGCCAGCTCCGTGTAAAAAAAAAACTTGGTCCATACTTTCCTTTCTGCTGTCCCCTCCCTACGATTTTGCCCCCAGAGTTTAGGATCAAAAAACAAAAAAAAAAAGACCAGATGGCAGCAGTAGTAGGCTTATCCCTCGCCCCTCCTCTTCTTACCTGTTTTTATTCCCACTCCCGGAACGGCTTCCCTTAATACTTGTATAACACCTTCCTTCTAAAAATTGAAGCCTCAGCCTCCTCTATAGCCCCCACCTTCGCTTCCTTGATGGTGGAAGGCATCTGCTCTATCAAAGCGCACCGGCGGGCTCAGAGGACCAAAGTCTTATGACTCTGATCATGTTCTGCCTCCCACGTTCACGGGCAGAAATTCCCTTTCAAGAGCCACCCAAGGACTCGGGCGTGGGACGGGGGAGGGGGGGGAGAGAGGGAGAAGTTTTCGAAGTATCTAGCTGCCCATTGAAACGGGCTTTGCTTTGAAATCCACCCCCTTTCCGGGTTTTGTTACTTTATCAACTGCAGTCACAAAGCCGCGCGGGGCTTTTATAAATCCCTCGAAGAGGCAGCAATTTCCCCTCTCTTTCAGCCGTCCCCGCCGAGATTTTGACCCCGTTCGATGAGGAGCGAGATGGGGAAGGCCGGCGCGCCCTAACCTCGTGCTTGGAGTCTACTGATGGGAGGGGAGGGCCGAGGTCCTTTCCGGACTGCCCCATTGACACATCCTCAGCAAAGATGCGCTCCGGATGGTGCGTGCCTTTTTCCGGCAGCAGAGCGAGTCCTGACACTCGCCCTGCCCGCGATAGAATTCGACCGAAGGAGGCCGAAATGCCCCCCAAAAGCAAGCTTTGCTGGGGCAGAGGCGCTAAAGCCGCAGCGGAGAATCCCCCGAAGTCTCGGGCTCTTGCGGGGAAATGAGTCCTGCAGAGACTGGCGGAGGGGCTTTCGGGAGGTGTGCCGTGTGAAAGGGCAGAAACGCCGCCGCCGCCGCCCTCTCTTCTTTCCTAACCACGCGAGTGGGCGCAGGCACCGTCGGTCGGCGCTGGGGCGGGTAAATGTGAGGAGTTTCCCCGCAGAGAGGCCAGGGCGCGAGTACGTGGGAAGGGAGAGGTGGCGAGACTGGAGTTTGATGCGTGAAAAAAGAAAGGCGAACGGGGTGTCAAATGCAAATCTAGGAAGGGAGAGCGGGCGAGCGAAGAGAATGAGCGAGAGAGTGAAAGAGAAGGGAGAGGGAGAGAGAGAGAGAGAGAGAGAAGGGAGAGAGAGAGAAGGAGGAGAGAGAGAGAGAAGGGAGGGAGAGAGAGAAGGGAGGGAGAGAGAGAGAGAGAGTGAAAGAGAAGAGAGAGAGAGAGAGAGAGAGAGAAGGGAGAGAGAGAGAGAAGGGGAACAGAGAGAGAGAAGGGAGGGAGAGAGAATGAAAGAGAAGGGAGAGAGACAGAGAGAGAGAGAAGGGGAGAGAGAGAGAGAGAGAAGCGAGAGAGAGAGAGTGTGTGAGAGAGAGAGAGAGAGAAGCGAGAGAGAGAGAGTGTGTGAGAGAGAGAGAGAGAGAGAGAGAAGGGGGAGAGAGAGAGAAGGGAGAGAGAGAGAA